GATGGAGGATCCCTGGCAGAGTAGCTGGTCTCCCCCGTCTCGGAGTGCCACCAGCATCGGGTGTGGGTGCCGTGCCATGCTGGCTGGCTTGGGGGGTGAGGGCACAGCTGGGGTGGCCCAACAGCCTGCTGAGGCACCCGGTGCTCACAGCCTCCCCACCCCGCTGCTGTTGGACGCCAGCTCCGGGTTAGTAATGGGCTATTTCTGTGCCACTGTCGTGAGTAATGGAGTGAGCTGTGCTGAGATTTTGGGTGGGGACAGAGCCTCTGCCCGCTGAGTCACCACTCGGCATCGCGCCGGGCTCAGGAGCTGCCGGAGCCGTCCCAGGTCGAGGTGGATGCTGGGGGCCGTGGGAAGGAGCCCTGGGTGCGGTGACGCTGCTCGGTTTGGAGCATCTGCTCTGCCCCTGGCTGGGGGGTGCGCAGGCAGGGGGTGCAGTGGGGCTGGTGGCCATGTGGGGCTGACTGTGCCAAGATCAGGGGCTCTGGATTTGGGTGAAAGCTTTGTCTCCGTGGTCGGTTGGGCAGTTCAGTTCATGGGGGCTGGGGTGGCCCCAAGAGCCCCTGAGGTTTGTGTGACAGCCCAGGGGGAGGTTTCCTCTGGTGACCGAGGAGGTCTCCTCAGCCCGCTTTGAAATGCAAGTCAGCCGCTGAGTCTAATTTCCTAATCCTTCACTTGCAGCTAATTACGATGCTGCCTGACCCGGGTTTTCTCTTTTTCTTTTCCTGTTCACATAGGGTGCGGGTGTGATCACCCCAAGAGGGGAGAGGAGCCTAGCCTTTGTTAAGGCTCAGTGTCCCAGTTAAAGGCAAAGCTTACAATTAGGATGTAATCTGCTTTTGAAACTCTTGGATGCAAAGACATAGTTTTACTTACTGCATCCTTTTGCCTTGGGGCAGAAAGCAGCCCCCTTCTCTGCTGGGTTTCAGCTGTGTTTGCTGAGTGATGGCTGGCAGCTCCCCCGCCACCGGTGCCAGCGCCAGTGCCAGGACCGGTTGTGTGGCAAAGGCTCCTTTGTCAGAGGGGCTGGGACAGGGCCAGCGCAGTCCTGGGTGCCAGGCATGCAGGTTGTGCTGGGCTCAATGCGGCCCTGCCGCTGATCGGATTATTTGGGAGGCGGCAAGCGCCCCTGGGGAAAACCCGGAGTGCTGTTTCTGCCCTGAAAAATTTATAATCTGAAATAAAACAGGGTCCCTGTGTGCAGCCACCGGCACTTGTCAGGGCTGGGGCATCAGTGTGAGGGCTCCCCTGGCTGCGGTGGTGGATACCAGTGGCTCTAGTTGGGCTGGGTCTTGCAGTGCCTGTGTCTGGTGCTCTCCTGGGTGAGAGATTTTGGGGTGCAGGGGCTGGGAGCGGGGGCTGTCCATGACCTCTCTGTCCTGCTGAGCCCCTCTCATCCCCGCAGCGATGGCAGCCATCAGGAAGAAGCTGGTGATCGTGGGCGATGGCGCCTGTGGCAAGACGTGTCTGCTGATCGTGTTCAGCAAGGACCAGTTCCCCGAGGTCTACGTCCCCACTGTCTTCGAGAACTACATCGCCGACATAGAGGTAGACGGGAAGCAGGTGCGGACCATTGTGGGATACCAGGACTGTCCCCATCCCCTCCTTTTCTCCTTCTCCTTACCCCTGGCTGCTGATCCATGTCCCTGTCCCCTCCCAGGTGGAGCTGGCGCTGTGGGACACGGCGGGACAGGAGGACTATGACAGACTGCGGCCCCCC